GGCACTGAAGCCATATAAAAGTTTTCATGTCAGCTTTAATTAAGTTGTCATTTTTTTCAACAGTAGAAAAGGACTGGGACAATTAGCTATTGTTAGTTTGTCCATATTTTATGTTACCAATCATTTGTCAGTACAGACATTACTGAATTGGCTCAAAATAATGGTATGGTGATTGACATATGTTTCAGTGACATTGACTTAGCAACTGTTCACATTAACTGACAATGTTTTCTTTTTCTTCTATGCATATATTTGTCACTGAACTATGTATGCTCCCAGGTTCAGATGGCAGGAAGGAGTCCCTATTATATTTGAGATCCCTTTTCTGATATCAGAGTTTGAATGAAATTATTAATTCCAAACTGACATCTCAAAGATCTAAAAGTATTGGGCCTTGTCAGATGTTAGACTTAATTATTTGCCCAATAATTTCACTGAAAGTATGTTAATATCTCAGTGTACTTCAGATTGCTCTTTTCTTTTCTAACTACGGTTAAACTTTCCTACTACTTTGTTTCTTTACCTTATATAAATTTGTTTTAGAAATCTGTGAATTAGTAAAGATCCTGAGTGTTTTACTGTCTACATTAATAGGTTACAATTCCAACTGGTATCTTCCCTTATAGTTTATTTTAATAAAAAATGGTGTAATATTTATTTAATTAGTGTATGGATGTATATATCTTGGCTATATATATGGACAGTGTTAAGCAGGATTCTATTTCAGATGTTGTTTTTCCCTACAGGTTAGAATTGTCCATGTAAAAGAGATGGGATATTCTGGCAGATGTTTTTGATGTTTGATAGCCATGGCCTGAGTTATTCAATATTGTTGATAGAGGAAACAGTGCAATGACAAATAGTAGTGGTGATAATGAATCTCCTTGAAATATTCCTAAGTCTAAATGTACTACTACTGCTGCTGCTGCTGCTACTACTACTACTACTACTACTACTACTACTAATAATAATAATAATAATAATAATAATAATAATAATAATAATCAGGGCTTTTTTTCAGCCGGAACGCGGCGGAACCGCGTTCCGGCACCTTTTTCCGGGCCGGCCGCACCGGGCGCAACATCTGGGGGGGCGCGCTCGCACTCGCAGCTCTCTGCCCCTGCCTGGCTCACAACCGCGGCCATAGGGAGGCTCGGTCGGCGCGCCCCTGGCCCGTTTCCTAGGCGACCNGGACCTTGGAGGTCATCAAGTCCAACCCCCTGCTCAGGCAGGTAACCCTATACCATTTCGGACAAATGGCTGTCCAGTTTCTTCTTAAAAACTTCCAGTGTTGGAGCATTCACCGCTTCTGGAGGCAGGTTGTTCCACTGGTTAATTGTTCTAACTGTCAGGAAGTTTCTCCTTAGTTCTAGGTTGCTTCTCTCCTTGAATCGTTTCCATCCGTTGCTTCTTGTCCTGCCTCCAGGCGCTTTGGAAAATAGCTTGACTCCCTCTTCTTTGTGGCAGCCCCTGAGATATTGGAACACTGCTATCATGTCCCCCCTCATCCTTCTCTTCATTAAAATAGACATACCCAATTCCAGCAACCATTCCTTATATGTTTTAGCCTCCAGTCCCCTAATCATCTTTGTTGTTCTTCTCTGTACTCTTTCTAGAGTCTCAACATTTTTTTTACATCGTGATGACCAAAACTGGATGCAGTATTCCAAGTGTGGCCTTACCAAGACATTGTAGAGTGGTATTAATACTTCACGTGATCTTGATTCTATCCCTCTGCTAATGCAGCCTAACACTGTGTTGGCTTTTTTGGCAACTGCAGCACACTGCTGGCTCATATTTAAATGATTGTCCACTAGGACTACGAGATCCCCCTTGCAGTTACTACTATTGAGCAAGGTACCCCCTATACCAGTGGTTCTCAACCTGTGGGTCAGGACCCCATTTGGGGTCGATCGACCATTTCATGGGGGTCACCAAGCAAGGCTGTCCGCCATTTTTTTTGTCCGCCATTTTTTTGTCAGCCATTTTTTCCCCCTTTTCAGGCGGGTGCCTTACCTCCCTTGGGCTGGGCCAGCTGGTGGTCGGCCTGTTCCGTCTCTGCCGCTTGCCAGCTACGCCTCGGCCGGCGCAGGGGGCAGAACCACGCATGTGCGGCGCTCCCGGGCAGGGAAAGTCCTCGACTTACGACCAGTTGGGTAGTCCTCTACTTACGACCGGTTTAGTCCTCGACTTACAATCGGTTTAGTCCTCGACTTATGACCGGTTTAGTCCTCGACTTACGACCGGTTGGGGTCGCGGCATTAAAAAGGTTGAGAACCACTGCCCTATACTATACCTATACATTTGGTTTTTCTTGCCTAGATGTAGAACCTTACTTTTTTCACCATTGAATTTCATTTTGTTAGATAGCGCCCAGTGTTCAAGTCTGTCCAGGTCCTCCTGTATCTTAAGCCTGTCTTCTGGAGCGTTGGCTATTCCTACCATCTTGGTGTCATCCGCAAATTTGATGAGTTCCCCATCTATCCCTTCATCCAAATCATTGATGAAGATTTTGAACAGCACTGGGCCCAGAACAGAGCCCTGGGGCATCCCACTACTCATTTCCCTCCATGTAGATGCGGTTCCATTGAGGACCACACACTGAGTACGGCCGGTCAGCCAGCTACGGATCCATCTGGTGGTGATGCTGTATAACCCGCATTTTTTTATCTTCTACTTTCTATTTTCTATCATTTTTCTACTTCTCCCTACCCTGTCTGTATGTTCCAGAGAGCTAAGGAAAGTCAATTGTGAGACATTTACAAATTACATTCCTACTTTGATTCAGATTTTGTTTATTAGATCATTGTCTAGATTGTGGCTCTTTCTCCTGCCTCTCAAGTTTATTGTGATGGATTGTATCAGTGAAAGGGGTGGTAACGTGATAATGTGATAGATTACAATGAAGTTGCAGTTTACCCGGAAGGAGGGAGCAGATTTCAAGGAGGTGGACAAAACAAGAGAAAGCACAACTTGGAACTGGAATCAGAAATATTGGAAAAGATTTAAGATAGCCATTACCTAGAATCACCCAAGATATATCTGTTAGGGTCAGAGTAGTATAGGTTTAGCCTGGCAAGATTTTGTTTATTGCATATAAGCAAATAAAATACTGAACTTTTGATCTATGTTGTCCTTGGGCAGGGCCTGACAGTTATAGACAATAATTTTTCTTGATAAATTGTAACAATATTTGATGGATGATGCCACTACCAGATGAACCATATCCAACATGTTATTTGCTGAGTCTGTGTCCACATGGAGGAAAACATGAAGTGGGAATTTCAGAACTCTATCCTGGCCCCAGTACTCTTTATCATCTACATAAAGGATTTATGGGGGACAAAAGAATAAAAGTGATGTTCAGAAAATTTGGTTGGCACAAAGCAGGGGAAGGTAGAGTATTCATATTTCAAAAGACAATTTAAAATCTTGATAGATTTGAAATGTACCCCCCCCCCCCCCAATAAAATGTTGTTCAGTGAAGAGAAATGTAAAGTTCTGAACTTAGGAAGGAAAAGCCAATATCCACCTTAGCAGTAATACTTGCAAGAAGGATCTGGGAGTTTTTGTAGACCACAGATTAAACATTAGCCAGTAATGTGCTATAATGCCAAAAGAACCAATTCAGTTTTGAGTTGAATCAGCAGCAGCAGCATAAAGATAATCCTCTGTTATATCCATTTATTTTGCAATTGTTAAAAGTTATGACAGCACTGGACAAGGGGAATTTTCAATCAGTCCTCGACATTGTGGTCATCAAGCATTCTGCTGTCACGTGATCGTCATTTGTGATTTTCCTTGCCAGTTTCATACAAGCAAGGTCAATGGGGAAGCTGGTAAGAGGTTATAAGTTGCCCTTGTTCCCTCCACTTTTTCTCCCAATGAGTTTCTAGGTGGCAGGTGGATCATATATTCTGTAGCAGCTGCCTGTGCATTTTTGCCCATATGTAACCCCAACCACATGCCTACCTGCATTTGCACCTACTCGTAGCTCCATTTCTGGAGGGTTTAAGTAAAAGATTGAACAGCTATTTAAGTAAAAGATTTGAACAGCTATCCAAGATGATATGAGACTTCCTGCACTAAATGACCTCCAAGTCATTTCCAGCCTTACGATTCTATTAATTCTGCTTTTAATGCAAATCAACTTACTTTTATACTTTTCCTGTTGTAATTTTTTTAAATGGATCAATATAATACTAACAATACTGCACAAATTCTCATTAGCTTTCATATGCAAATGTTTTGTCAATAGTTTTATAAAATATAAGTAAAGATTAATTCATGCTATTTGCTGTAACATTTGGTTCATGCAGAATCCCTAAATTCACTGCTGACTGAATCCATGGAAGAATTAACTTACTGTATACCCTTGATCTAACTAGCTGAGCTAATTAGTTTTTGAACTGCTTGGAGAATCCCATTTCTGCATTTATGTAATATAAATAATAATGTGTTTATAAAAAGGATCTTTGATTTTTAATTCATTTATTTAAGATATTTCTAATTATGTTTTTTACTGATATTTAAATATTAAATTAGGACAAAGTATTATGTAAATTTATTTTTTAAAAATATAGCATTGTGATTCAGTATACCTTCAATTTCCACTAGTTGTGTGCCAGTAGTTGTACCATAAACATATGTATATTAATCATGCCAAATAATGTGCTGGTTTGCATAAACTAATACATGTTTGTGAGGATATTTGTTTTTTTAAAAATTGGCACAATAACAACTTTATTAAGGGCTATTCTATTATATTGTGTACTGAGAATCAGTTTGAATAATATAGCATATATAGAAATTCTACAGATTCTATTCTGTTGATTGCAATGACATGTTAATTGACTGCCATGTAGATTTTAATAAGATGACAAACACAAAAAGGTTTATGTTTTTAAAAATGAACTAAAGAAAACTAAGTGTTAGCCAAATGCAATGTTAGTGTTCAGTGTTCAGGAATGCTATCTAACAGATGTTTATAATTTTTGTAGGTAATAGCTCTAGCAGATGCAGCTGAAGAAAACCAAGCCATTATGTTCCAGGCATTCACAAAATTAAAAAGTGCCACCCAGCTGGTAATTCTGCTGATTAGTCTATGGCAAAAACTGAGTGTTGACCAAGTTGCTATCCTGGAAGCTACATTTCTGCCATTAACACAGAATACTCAAGAATTGGTAAGAGAGTACTAAGTTTATTTTTAAACCACAAAAAGCATTACATTCAAAAGGAATGGTTTTTAATTCAATGTTCTTTCCTGCATGGAAATTTGACTTAATGTTCTACTTAACTCAGAGTGGCTTTTTTGTTACTGAAGGGCAGTGAGCTGCTTCAGCCAACACATTTGGAGTGCATTATTAAAGAGCAACAAAAACAAATTCAGAACATACTGTTTCTTCCTTTGTGTTCACTTTCATTGATATGTAAAGCTTCCATTCCTTTGCAGTGTTTATGCTTAATGGGAAAAACCTCTTGATTTCAGGGAACATGTCTATTTTGAAAAGCCAGAGTCACATAGATGAAGAAGCTTAAAGAAAGAACTACAGAGACATGTAGACAAGACTTTTTAATATATAGTATCTTCATCCTACTTTCAGGACTATAGAGTTTTTGTTAATCTATAAAAGGATTATTAATAGCTTACCCACTTTCACTCACATCACTACAAAACTGGCTCCGTGCAGCAGCCAAATTAGGAAAGACAGAAACACTCTACAGATAATAGTTCTGTACATTAATTGGGGTCTTCCAACCAATTCTCTGTCCAAGCTTTTTTTTTTTTTTTGCCTCATGTCAGCAGTTTTTTTATCACCTCAGCTGCCATTTCTTTCATGGTCATTGACTTTTGCTATATAGATAGACCTTACTTAAAATCACAGCCATGCTGAAAAAATACCTTTGTGACCAAAGTATGCATTTACAACCTTTACGGCATCTGTGTCTCTAACATCTTTGCCATTTTAGTCAGAGCATTTGTTGTCCTGTGTCTCACTGTTCCCACTCCTCCCCAGCAAAGAGATTGCTGAAAACATGCAATCTTTTCCTCACCTGCTTTTCTCCACAGTTCAGCGCTTCCCCAAAAGGCACTAATTGCAAGTTAACAAGCTCAGCTCTTTGACCTTAATTAGTAGTTTGCAACTGCTGCCTGGAGCTGACAAGACTTTAATCATTTTCACACTTCAACTTTTGTTTGCTTCCTGAGTTGCTTGTGACCTAGAACTGTGAGTGCAGTAGGCAAACAGCTTGCAATAGTATTTTTCTTTCAATGAGTATTTCCAGTTGTATACTCTCTTTTTTCCTCCAATGAAAATAAATACAAACATTAATTCTCTTCTTACTAATTTTCCCATTGTTAGAATGAGCATGCCAAGGACTGGGGAGTGGGAGAAAAAAAAACTGAAGTAAAATAATAAGTACAGTTGAAGTCATGTGATTTTTCTACTTAGCAAGCATATCGCATACAAACAAGTTGCCATTCTCAGTTGTAGTTTAGTGTCGTTTAGTACGATGATTACCAGTAGCTTGTCAAATAAAATTTAGTGCTTGGAGATCATTTTCATTCCTTCAATTCAAAAGATACATTTATTAAAGGAACATTTTAGAAATTTGTGTGGGAGTTTATTTACAAGACTTATATAAGGCAGGGCTTTTCAACCTTTTCACCCATTGTACCACTTTTAGGATATGGCAACATCCGAGTACCACCAGTTGCCTAGCATTTCTGTTGAGGATTGGCAGCAGGGGTGGGGGGTGTTTGGTTTTTATTCCCCCTGTCTGCTGGGTGGTTGCAGCAGGTTTTGGTCACTTCACATGACCCTGGGACACTGTGACCGTCATAAATACGAATTAGTTGCCAAGCATCTGAATATAAATCACAAGACCCTGGAGATGCTGCAACATTCCAGCCGATCAGCGCTTCTTCTGGGCTCAGCAGAAGCGTCAGAATCAGTGCTGCTTTTCAGCTGATTGGTGCTTCTTCAGGGCTCAGCAGAAGCACCAGGATCAGCGCCGAGCTCCAGCTGGATCCTGGCGCTGATCCTGGCGCTTCCGCTGAGCCCTGACAGCCCTGCAGCTCCAGCCATCTCTCACTCAGGCTTGTGCGGTGCTGCCACCAGTTCTGCTCATTCCCCTCCCCCGCTATCACTTTTCTAGGATGGTCGCGTACCACCTGCCAGGTGCCAATGTACCACAGGTGGTACCCGTACCACTGGTTGAAAAGCCCTGATATAAGGCACCTACCTTATATAATAATTCCGGATCGCTCAAAGTATCATTAAAATGTAGTTAAAAATGAAAGTACCTTCCACCAGACCAATATCTACAACTCAACTCCCATCCTAGTCCAATGCTTGGGACGAGAACCAGCTCTTCATGGCTTTTGGAAAGCTCCCTCAGATCTCAAATGGGAGGCTGTTCCAAAGACTAGGGTTATCACCAAGAAAGTGAGTGATATGGAGTGGCTGGGTTGGTCATTGAGAATGCAAATGAGAGAGATATGTGGAACAGTAGACTTGAAACAAATGCTGTACAGTACATAAATCTTTGAACCCAAGAAAAAGAAAATTGAAAAAACATATATGGAAAAATGTAAGATTGCAGATATTAGTAATTGGGAAATTTTTTAAACAGTGATTGTGGTTTAACAGAACAACAGTTGGAAGGGACCTTGGAGGTCTTCTAGTCCAACCTTCTGCTCAAGCAGGAAACCCTATATGATTTCAGACAAGTAGCTGTCCAATCTCTTCTTAAAAGCGTCCAGTGATGGGGCACCCACAACTTCTAAAAGGCAACTGGTTTCACTGATTAACTGTTCTCACTGTTAGGAAATTTCTCCTTAGTTCTAGATTAGATCTCTCCTTGATTAGTTTCAATCCATTGTTTCTTGTCTTGCCTTCAGGTGCTTTGGAAAATAGGTTGACTCCCTCTTCTTTGTGGCAGCACCTCAAATATTGGAACACTGCTCTCATGTCACCCCTAGTCCTTCTTTTCATTAAACTAGACATACCCAATTCCAGCAACCGTTCTTCATATGTTTTAGCCTCCAGTCCCCTAGTTTTAAGTCTCTTGTTTCTCTTCCTCAAAAATACCCAGGAATTCCCAAATTTGCATCTTGTTTAAGGAACGGCTTTATGACTTTTTAAAACATATAAAGATTTTCTCTGAATCTGAAAGTTGGAAGAATATTATTCTCCTATTGGAAAGGGAAAGTTAAAAAGAATGATTTCCATAAGTACAAAGGATTAGTTTTACTAAGAGTTCCTAAAAAGGAGTTTGGCAGAAATGTGATTGAAAAAATATGAAATATGAGAATGAACAAAATTTAGGAAGAGCAGAGTGAAAAATGCACAGATATGAGAAAGAAAGTTTTTGTACATTTTTATTTAGAGAAAACATTTTATATTGTTAACATCCAATTAAGGAATGTTTTCTATGAATATGGAGTGAAGATTAGTTGCTGAATACAATCACAGCAGTATATGATGGAAATAATTCAGTGATAATTGAATGGTTCAACTTTGAGAAGTACATAAGACAAACATGTGTAAGGAAAACTTGTGGTGAAGACAAAGGTATGCTGATTAAGGGTATATGTGAAGCTCTGAATATTAATATTAATAACATATGAAGAACCAATATAGTTGTGTTTCACAAGCAACATGGATTGAATTGCAATGTAGATGTTGTGATGAAAAGCTAGAACAAAATATGAATTTGTGTACCTTATTAAAAAGTTCATTGAAATGAAATAATAATTGGAATAATTTTAAGATTTACAGTAATGGTAGGAATGGGTAATGTTGTGAAGGATGAATGTCCAAAGAAACAGTAATAGTTAATAACAGTTAAATTAAATGCAATGGGAATAATGTTTTAACATGTGAATATAAAAAAATGAAAGAAGGATCAAAAATGGATGCATGCTGAGTGAATCTATATTCATTACAAACAAAAATGTATACCAAAAAAGAGGACAAAAAGAATATTTGTGGAAAATACCTCAGATTTTAAATAAAGAAATAATCCTTGACCATATGGACTAGATCAAATAATTATAAAGTACATGGAATAATAATAGTTTTTACACTATATCAGGGGTGTCAAACTCAATTTCACTCAGGGTTGTGGTTGACCTCGGGGTGGGGGGTGGGGGGCGTGGTCAGGGTGGGTGTGGTCAGGGTGGGCATGGCCAATTCAACATCGCTTGTGTTGGGGGGCACCTGTGTGGTCTGGGTGGGGCTGGGGGGATCCAGCCTGGTCCTTGAGCTCCCAGGGCACTGGGACCCCACAGCCCAACCCAGCCTGCTATCCTAAGAGGGCGCCCTGCTGCACTTATCTCCTCCTTGAAGCTGCTGCTGCTGTTCTTGCTCTCCTTGGCCATGATGTGTGTGGGAGGGCAAAGTATGTGGGTCAGAGGGAGGCCTACTCTCTCTCCATATGAGGAAACCTGGCTTTGTAACTAAAGTATCCTCAGCAATAGGATGGGAGACTACCAGGAGAGATCAAGATGAGGAGACAAGGGGATGGCAAAAGGGCAGCAGGGCTGCTGGTGGCCAAATGCTAAGACAGCACTTCCCTCAGACCCTCCCTCTCTCTCATTGCAATCCCCTCCCTCCCTTCCTTTTTCCCTTTTCTTCTTTTTCCTTCCCTCTTTATTCTCCTTTCTTCCTTCTTCCTTCCCCCTCTTTCCTTCTTTTTCCTTTCTTATTCTCTTTCCCTCTTTCCTTCTTTTTTCTTTGTTTTTCCTCTTTCCTTTCTCCTTTCCTGTCCCTTCTTGGATGCTCAAATGCAAAAGGGGAAACATTTCTCCATGCCTTCTTGCCTTGTGATCAAATGCCACTTTTGCTTGTAGTTTGTGGCCACTTAAAAGATAGAGAACAAACCAGGCTCAGTTTATCCCGTAGTTGCTTTAATTAGGGGGTGTCCGCAGACAACAGTACAGCAAAACTGTCAAAATGGTGGCTGTGATATTTAATAAGAGCTCCTCTGTTTTTTATGTGCAAAAGTTTTATCTTTTATGAGCAGAGGTAGGTTAGTTGTTTTTCTATTAATACATAATCCTTAAAAGGGCTCTCCTGTAAGGAGCCTGCCTTGGTCTAATTCAGACTGGAAATATACCAAAGGAAAATATTTTCCCCACTCTGCTTTGTCCTGCTTTCCCCACTGGAAATGGCTGTTT